CCTCTCAGCAGTTTATCATATCCAGTCAGCTTCTACTTATCACTATCTAACATGTATCTACGTGTATTCCAGTTATCATATTCAACCACCGGAATGCACATGATGAAATTTATCGCAGCCTATTATGAATAAATTCATCAGCAGCCAAAACACACTCATAGCCGTGACCACTTTCGCTACACAGTAGGCTATGCAGTGACCAAGATTCTGAGACCTGAGTTATGACGGCGCGACAACCGCAGGTACGACCCACTATTACGATCTGCTACTAACTAAGCGCGAAGCTTTTTTAAGATGCATTAATCGCATCTCCAAAAAAACAAAAACAAAAAAACAAAACAGATATACGTTAGCAATAATTATAGGATTGACGTCAACTGTGTTGCATTAAGCCGTGATCGTATAGTGGTTTAGTACTTGCGTTGTGGCGCGCATACCGCCAGGTTTCGAATCCTGGTCAACGGCATAGCTACGACCCTAGCATGTCAAGGCTTGAGCCGTTTTTTTGATCACGTCAACGTCGTATATTTTAAATAGAAATTACGCGTGCATTATAGTGGATTATGTGTTCTTATAGTACTAAAATCATTTCGATATTCTTAAAAACTCTCACTGGGATCCCGCTCTCGAAGGTGCGGATCAGTGTCCAAATTCATTTTGATATGTTGTACAGTTTAGCTTCTAAAATTAATATAGCCGCGCTGTGATTTCTAAATAAAATTTCAATTGTAGTGTAGCACATCGTAAGCGCCACCGCAACCGCCCCGAATCACCGCGATTATACGCAATGTTTCTTGTTCATAATCGGACTTTTTGTTGTTATGGTTGGAGTTATCAATGATAGACATTCGATTTCTACATATAACATCTCGATTTATCCATATAACATTTGATTTATCCATTATTAACATTGTGAATTTATTGCATATTCATTGATTTATCGGCCTTATGATATTTGATTATTTAAGTCAATATGTAGTATGCGAATAAGTCGACAATGAATTTCCTGCCAAAGTACAATTGCGATCATCTCATACTAGCCTGTTAATTCCGATGTATTAGCATTTATCATGTTTTAAATGTAACATATTGATTTTATATCAGAAAAGAGAATCAAACGCATTCGATCTAGCATCAAATCATTGTTTTTGGAATCAAAAACCATTCAATATGGATTAGAATCGTTCGATTCGGAATCAAGTCGGTTCGATTTTGGAATCCGAATCGTTCCGATTCTTGAATCGAATCATTCGAGCTGCGAATCAACCATTCGATCCTGTAGTCGTAGATCCCTTCTGCACGACCGAATCGACCATGCACTTCTGAATCGAATTATTCGATCCGTGAATTCGAAGCATTCGATCCGTGGGGGGGGGGGGCGGGGGGGGGGGGGGGGAAAAAAAAAAGTCTTTTGCGGGGCGCGCGCGCCCCGCGGCGGGCCGCCCCCGGCGCGCGCGCCGGCGCCCGCGCAGGCCGCCGGGCGGCCTCCGGCCCGCCGCCAGCGCCGCCCGCCGCCGCCCAGCCCTGCGCCGGCCGCCCGCCCGCCGGCGCCGCCGCCCGCCCGGGCCCCGCCGCGCCACAAAAAAAAAGCGCAGAGAAGTTGGGGTCGCGGCCCGCCCGGCCCCCGCGCCCCGCGCCCTCCCCGCGCGCCCCGCTCCCCGCCCGCCCCGCCCCTCCCGCGCCGCCGCCGCCCGCCCCCCGCCCCCCCGCCGCCCGCCCGCCGCGCCGCGCCGCGGCCGCGGCGCCGGGGCGCGTGCCCGCGGGCCCCGCGGCAGGCCCCGAGAAGAGAGAGGGTGTGTTGGCTGGGGGGTGGGAGATGGGGGGTGTTGGTTTTATGTGCGCCTGCGTGTGCGACCGGCGCGCGGCCGGGTGGGGTGCCGGCGCGCTGCGGGGGGCCCCCCGTCCGTAATTTAAAGCGTTCAATTCGTGCTCAGCAGCGTATGTGTAATGTCGCGTGCGCATCTATGCTGTGTACTGGTTCTTACATTACGAAGCTGAAGAACTGATTCTTAATGATTCATAACTAATTCTTCAGGTAGAATCAACAGAAGATATCATAATCATAACTATATTGATATTCCTAATAATTCATGATCCTCGTAAATGTGTCTGACGAGCGGGCGGCGAGATCCTTGTGCGACAGCACCGGGTATAGTCAAGATATAGCGAAACAGAATTAGCGCGCAGTCATAATAAATCGTTAACATGAATACGCCATTGCAGTTAAGACACACAATGGGATTGTAGTTCACAATGTGGCAGGCGGCCCTGACATCACCGAACAGCAAGGCTCAGTGACGAGAAGTCGATTGTCGCGCCGATTACTTTTCGCGAAACGTAGTCGGTCCGAGCGTCGAAGTGCTGTTCCTTGCCACGATAGGTGAGAAGTCTTCACATTCCTTTGGTTCTGCCATCCCGAGATTTAGTCACGGTTAACCGGATGAGGACTATCAAATTTTCTAAATAAATTAGTAAGGTTAGCAATCACGTACATCTGGTCGCAAGTTCTTTATCACTGTGTTACTATTGACGGAAACCTTTTCAAATAGATCCTATGCGCCATCTCATTCTCTTCTGTAATGCGACCGACGCAGGACCCTTGTAGCGTAGCTAATGTATCTAGTGTGAGAGAGAGAGTGAGTACTATTTATAGTACCTCACTGTCGAACGTTAGACTAACAATTTAATCTTCACCAACGACTACTACTAGTTCGTGTGGATTTGCTGCACGCGTTTATGGTTATAATACCTGCGTTTTAACACCAACGTATTGCTGGCGGGTGGGAAGTTTTTTTTTTTTTTTTCTTTTTTTTTCTTTGTTTTTTTTTATTTTTTTGTTTTTTTTTTTTTTTTTTCTTTTTTTTTTTTTTTTTTTTTTTTTTTTTTTTTTTTTTGTTCTTTTGTTTTTTTGTTTTTTTTTTTTTTGTTTTTGTTTTTTTTTTTTTTGTGTCTTTGCGGTCTTCCCCGAGGAGTTTGTGGATTTTGCGGGTGGTGCCGGACAGGCCGAGTTTGCTGGCTGCGGGTCAGGGTGTTGAGGCGGCGCCGCCTCGGAGTGACACGACGGAGGTGCTTTGGTGCCCCAATGTCCGCCGGAGGCCATGACGTGTGGTCTGCCGCCGAGGGGGGCGGTGGGCCGGGCCTCTTGCCGGCGACCGTGGGTCCGCATGTGATGTTTTCGAGGAGGGCCACCACAACACAACACCCAAAACACCACTCGGCAAAAAGATAACCAACGGCTGCCCCAACCTTGTACTGTCTGGTTCAGTGCATGTAAAGCGCTCAGACTCGATACATTTCCCATAGTGGAATAGTACGGCACTATCGTTCAATGATCTCAAATCTTTTTAGACATCAATCTTCCGAACATTATTTTATCGCAGTAGCAGGTTATAGCTTAAGTGCTGTTAGTATATTCATCTTTTATCTGCAACTGACAACACTTTCTAAATAACATAAATTCCTAACAAATGAACGGATATGTTAAATCCTCTACACTGACCACCAGCTCAGATACCTTCGTCACTGAGTGGTTGTCCCACCGTAGTGAAATCTATAAGAGTAGGCAGTTCCGTACATAACACCACGCGTCCTGGAACTCTCATCTCACTCGCTACTCTTTCTGCACCCAGTACGGTAGCCCAGCGTTCGCCACTGTGAAAGAAACAAGCAAGATATGAAGTTCAGAAATATATTCGGGTCGATGTTCTTTTCACTACGGATATCGTGTCCACTATCTTATACGATATATACCATGAACGCTAGGTAATACCTGAACACGCAATTAAAGCAAGGTGATCATTAGGCTGAACCTGCGGGCAATCCGAAATTAATAATAATGTAACAGCTCAATTACCGAAGAGAATAGGTCGGCGTATTGCCTTCATAGTGCCAATGGTACTTACGAGCGTTCTCATCAACCATAC